TGGAATTAAAAAAAAAAACAAAATTAAGTAGCTAGAATATTCTCTATATCTATGCCAAATTTCATCAAGATCCGTTCAGCAGTTTAGGCTACAAACTCTAACAAATACCATTTGAACTTTCGCATTTATAATACTAGTAAGACGACCATTCATTAAGTAAACGACTAACTACTGTACTAATAAAAACAACACGAAGTTCTTACTTAAGTAAAGATACTTTTCCGGCCTTGGAAAATAAAATAATCCCTACTCTTGAATAAATCCAAATTATTCAGAGATGATATTTAAAAAAGTTGAAATCCCAAGATAAATGACCCGATTTCGTGTTGAAGTCGGAAAAATGTTCTATAAAATAAGAAAACTAGTAATAAAACAACATTGAAAGTGTTTCACTAAAGCGGGTGATTCAAGGGTGGCATTCAATAATGCATTGAGTTTGCTTTGCGTATTTGCGGAGCCGCCAGAGGGAGCCGGTTCATACTTTATTAAAACTTGGAGGATATTCACGATGTAAGATCGTCCACGAGACCGGAATATTTACATGTCACTCGAATGATATACGAACCAAAACTTCCGGTGAATCTTTACACGTGCGGTACGGAGGCGAGGGATTTTAAGCCGATTTGACGTTTCCGTGAATTTTCACTGCTTTTTGTTATCATTCCCTTCTCTCGATACCTCATTTTCCTATGTTAAGGAGACATAAAATATCGACACCAAATCGTCTAAATCGTTAAAAATCGTGTTGAATATAGATTTGTGTAGATATTATCACGTAGGGATTGCACCCTCGTTCAATTACGAAACATTTTCTTGATGGTCCGATATCTAACTGAAATAGATGTGAATAGTGACGTAGGTAATAAAATATACATTGTACTCTATTTTTTATTTCAAGCTACCTAATCATTGGAAGAGAAATTGTTTTAGACTTCAATTTCAATTCAACCGACACTCTCAGAATTGTTGAATTGTTACTTTGTGGGTCTATTAGTGTTGATTGAATAAGATAATGTAGGGCTAAGGCACATCTTGTATAAACAATAAATATATGACTAAAAATAAAATGTAACATTTAGAATCTTGAAAACTCAGCCAGTTGAGGGGACAGTAAGTAGGTTATGGCGCTAGCGTCGCTGACAGCCGCGGGCGAGGGATGTTGCTATACTCTATGCCAGCGAATGCATTCTATACTCGTGTCTGAGACTACAGCTTTAAAACAAAACATTGACATGATAAATATTATCAACTTAATAGCTTTTGCCCGCGATTTGTAATTAAAAAATAAAAGTAAATTTATGGTCTACATCTATGTCAAATTTCAACCAGATTCGTTTAGTCATCTAAGGGACAAACTCTAACAAACATATTTAAGCTTTCGCATTTATAATATTAGTGAGATAACATGATGCAGAATCAATCTTGAAGTTTATAAGTGATTGGCTGTGCTCGGCGGGTGCGAACCCAAATAATCTGATTATTCCTTACCGTCACCCCGCTCTGTCCCCACGTGGAAACAGAAGATATTAAAAAGTTCCATCCGTCCCACTATCACCAATAAGGTGACAGATGGAACCTTTAAGAAATAAAATAAGTTCTAACCGTCCATCCGTCGCAGAAGATAGGACGGATGAAACTTTTTATTCTCATCTGTTTCCATGTGGGGACAGAGCGGCGTGACGGTTGGGAATAATCCAAATATTCGTTTTCAATATAATTGTTACAATTAATTTCTTGTAAGTGGTAGAAATATATAACATTTATAAACGTTACCCGTTTATTTGGAGGGTTCTCAAGAGTGCGGAGTCCTCAGGCGAGAGTTCGACAAGTGTTTGAGCACTGAAACCCTCCCTTCTCACTCATTAGCGTAAATTTTCTCGAAAAACACCTATTTTTCCCACTTAAGTAACGTAATTGCAACATTAAGGTATATGTAACAAGTAAAATACTACCTCTTTACTCGTTAATAACAGGCGTTATTAAAATAATTAGAAGCAATCATTTAATAAACACTTATAATGTTTTCGTCGTTGAGAATAGTTACTAATTAAGAAAAATTCAGAGATAGAAAGCAATCTTTAGCCTTAAGAGAAAAGTTTTTACAGTTAAACAAGAAAAAACGTCTTAAATGTATATCTTTTCAAGTTGTAAGAAATATCTTCGTCTTGGACCTATTTTTATCGAAAAATTTAATCGCCAATACACGTGTAAAAACGTTAAACGCAAATCGGTTATTTATTACGAGTACAATTAACTGCATTTCTAATACATTTACTAGAGAGCTATCACGAATATTTACATGATAGTTGTGAGAAATTATTCGTAAGGTCGTGAAATTTATGTGAGATTTGTGTAACGCTCCTAAAGTAAAGACCACCAAAAAATCTCATACATTTATTTTTCTCGCAAACATTCGTAATAAACCCTTAGCGTGTCAAATTTCGTTATATACGTAACTAAAATATGTTCAAGTTTATTATTGTATTCCGATCATGAGGTGTACACGTATGTAATCAAGGAGTAGATTCTCACCGACTGCCCGCCTCGGATGTGATCCGTTTGCTGATTGCGAATTAAAATTACAAATCTAGACATCACTACAATCTGACATTCAATGAAAGCCTAACACATATTGTTTATGGCATTGGATGCATTAACACGAAGTAGGTTCATGTTATATGCTTTCGATAGCCTAGATGCACACATGCTTGCAAATTTAATTCTAGTAACTGTTATTTTATATTGAGCCCTGCAATTATCCTCCTGTTTATGTAAAAACTAACTGTTCAAGTGCGTCTTCATCCGTACGAAATTTTTAAATTTTTTCTTCATGTTTACATTTGTGAAATTATCACTTGCAAATGTCAAAATTCAAATTGACAAATGACAACGAAGACTTTTGATATTGGATACCATTAGATTAAATACTTTATTATCTCCTTTTGGCCTATGGCCTCTTTCCCACTTCAAGGTTTTTTCCAATTTATTTACCCCCTAAGTATAATGGCGTGAAAATATTTAGTCTAAGGTGTGTCATTAGTACTTTATTTTAAATAAAGAATAAAGAATTATTCAGAAATATGCTGTAATTGCTGACATCCTACGCCACGAATTAGAGTGTGTTTACTTTTTATTTTATTAGTATATATGATGTCTGATATTCGCTATAAAACTTATTTATAACCATAAATACTTATGTGCTTAATCTATAACAGAATAACAACCGTATTCATGTCTGAAAACGGAACACGGATTTCAAACATTACTGTATGAAAATTTCAAGCATAATTATGTATGAAAATATGTGCTGTTAACAAATTTCATTTGGCTTAATTCGAGCTACAGCTGCCAATACGCCGGCGATGCGAGCCCGCAGCTAAACGAGATACCGCATTGTTGGACCCTATCATAGCCTCGCATAATTAACTTGTCACACCAAATAACGCATACACTCACCTAATATAACCACAACCGTTTCAAATTTATGTCTGCTATCTACCAAATATTATATTCGTCCACAAAAATATTATGGTTCAATAAGTAAGTTTTTATATTCTTTTTGTTTTCACATTTTTGATTCAGCTGGTTTATTCCAAAACTTAAAAATAAGGTTTTCTGACGAAATATACGTTTAGTTTCCGCTAAAAGAGACCCTCAATGTAGACTTAGTATTGGAAACGTACAAGAATATATAATAGTTAATTAAAAGACAAGACCAGACTACTATGACCAGATCCGCTAAGAAAAAATCATAAACAAGACATTGAATTGACTTTGATTGTATCAGATAATAAGAATTAATCAAGCATAACATATAAGATTTGGAATCTAATTTTAAAGTCGCACAGCAGATGTAATTATCAACTGACAATCATTCATACATGGTAGACACGCGCAGCGATGGTGTTAATATCTGGCTGGTAATCGTGATCGTACTATTCCAGGATTTTTTTCATGAAGCATTATCCAACCGTTATTTTGCCCACATTTATGCATTTACAAATGAGAAATCGATCAGCAATGAATTAGTAAATAACTCCTGTACTAAATTATACATGTAAAAGTCATTAGCGCACGGCGTAATGATAGCATCTATGGCCCCACATCATCAAACACAAACAATAGCGCCCTTCAAACATCAACGATTGTCAGAGCCCACAATAATTGCCCAACTACCGACGATTCACAACCGATCCGGTAGCTCACACCCGTTTCAACGTTCGTTATTTTTGCTAAATGGACCCATTTGAAAATTAACTGCACGATTGCTCGCGAATAATGTGCCTGCGTGAGTGGTTCATATATCACGATAGGCGTTAAACAAATGAAAGGGGAAATTGCGGAGGTCTACCGTGGTTGCATTGAACACGTAATAGCGCCACCTAGCGTCGGATAGCATCACTAGAATAAACTTACACAAAAAATAACTCTATCATGAATTGTTAGCTATGCATAACAATTTCTAAAGTTTTGATTTATACACTTTTAAAAATCACTTATTGTCCAAGGTAATTTCAATGTTACGAAAACAAATCATATAATGTTACTATCCAACAATAGATGGCGCTGTAAGTCTGTGTCACAGAAATCAAATTGTCAACCAAATAAAAATACGATTTTAACATAATCCTCTTTCTAAATAAACATTGTATCGTTTTGATGTTTTTACCATTAAGTTGTAACGTGCTACTTTTTAAAACAGCCAAAAATGTTTACAGCTGTAAAAAAGACAGGCCGTTAACTGCATTTCCAAATGCCATACCAAAGTAAAAGAAATCGTGTTCACGGTACTTGGATGCGCAATTTTAACTGTTGCTAGTGATAAATGAACCTGCCCGTGGAAAAATAAAACGCACGTATGCTTCAGTTCGACGGAAAAAAGTACACAATAGATGAGTATAACTTTAAATTAAATAGATTTTTTTTTATGTTTTGTTGTACTGAAAACAAAGATGACGTTAATTTTACTTTCTAAAAATGTATATAAATTATTTACTGACCTTTACTTGTTCGGTTGCTTTCTTCGCCACATCAGGGTGAAGTATCTTGATATCAAGATCAATCGCACACTTTCTTGCTGTTTCGCAAAACGCCGCTGCGTTAACGTAATACGCTGGTGTTTTGTCACTCGTCTCTAAAGGTGAATTGGGAGATAGAATCCCACTATCAGCATCACTAACACTCACTGATTTCCTTGTAGCTGTTGAATTTTCACCAACCGGAGATTTTAGAGGTATTTTTGATTTTTCATTGACAATTTGAGATCTTGATGGTATTTTGGATTGTCTTGAGTCTCCAGGATTAAACCCAGTGTTCGGATCAAATATAACGTAGTTATCTTTATCGCATCTGACTTTATTATTAACTGTTACTGTGTATTTCTTGTTAGGACTCAAATTCAGAAATGGATCTTCACTGTCTATTGGACTTTCTGGTATTATTGATTGTATTTTTGGAGTAATTTTTGGCACAGACCTTCCGTCTATTGTACGTCTCACGACTGTGTCGTTGGCAAACTTTAATCTTACATATTCATTTGATATTGTTCTTCTTACGGGAGACGATAGTAAGGGTGACGGTTTAACATCTTGTTTAGCTTGAAATAAATTAATTTTAGGTTTCTCCATTGCTTTGACTGGAGAAAATGGTAGCTTTAATTTCGATGCGACCTTTTTCTTTTGTGCATTTACGTTGAAATCTACATCCAAATTTTGTACCGTACTTTTATAAACAGGTAATACACTCGACTTTGATTCGACTTTAATCGTTTCTTTTGTTACTTTTCTAGTATTTTTAACTGTATCTAAAGGTTTACTAAGCTTAGTCATAGATGAAGGTGTTTTAAGTCTTTTGTCTTTAGTCTTCTTTGTTGCGGGTGGGTCAGTACTTTCAACTTTTTTAGAAGATGATTCCTCCGGCAGTCTGATAAAAGTCTTACTACGATCACATAGGAACACATTATTTTGAGCATCATCGTCGGAATTATCTAAAACACTTTCTATAACTATATCTATATCGCTGGATTCAGAGGTACTTTTAGATGATCTATTCTCATTTATGATAACTGATATTCTTTGTTCTACATCTACAAGGGAGTCAGTCTTATCGCTCTCGCCGATACTTCTTGATGAGGTACCACTGCCGGAGTCCGATGGGGTTTCAACTTCGAATATAGCATCATGTAATTGTACAGTTTGCTTTGAGGAAGTCTCCGGACATGAGGATCGTCTTTTCACAGTTCCAGTGTCAGCTGATGGGGAATCCCAGTCCAAACTTTGAATTGTACACTGACCACTCTTTTTTGATCGTCTTGGGCTTGTCATTATTACATTATTACATTGTTATAATATAACTGTATCTAATCATTATTGAGTTGTTATGAGTTATGGTCTACTGTTGGAAAATCATTGAACGGTTGGCAAATTTGATGGCAGAATAGATAAGTGTCTACATAAGTTGGTCATTAGTGTAATCAGACACGAACATGTAGCCGCTCTCGATTGTTATCTAATTATGAACTGGAAGCGAACCCGCTTGGGATCACATGCTATGTGAATTATCTAATTTGTAACTTTTGGATAAACCATAATGTAATTATGTAAAGTTAATTGTATTAACAAAATTGGCAATAGGGCTAATCTAATTTATTGAGAATTAATGTGCGTTTTTTAATACATTTTATGATTTTTCCATTTATTTAAAATACTTATTAGTGTGTTATAACCCAATTTTAATTACGAAACATAGTTTTTTTTTTATCACAATGTCACAAAGATATTAAGTCTGCCATATTATTAACTAAAATTCTTAAGCAACATTAACACCGTAATAGTTTGTAAGAAACCGTTCTACAATGTTCGTAAATATCCTTCACTATTCCCCCGGGACCGACAGACGTAACATTGTTAACACCGGAAGAAGGCTCTTATATAACTCCACCCAAGTCTAATGTTCGTAGTTTAAATGTCTACATTTACATTTTTTATATACACACGTGAACTTAAACAGAATTAACTAGAGATTATCATTTACTGCATTAAATAGACACTTTAAATGTCCTCTTTCTATGCGTCCTGTCGATTAAAGGGAGGCAACGCCTTCGATATACTATTTCAGCGAAATTTTGTCGATAGATAAAAGTAAAAAATACATATGTCTTATTTAACTGACGACAGTTAGACCTCTAGATCTTTTTATTTTGCTCTGACTATTACAAAGCGATTAAAATTTTCAAACTATACGATAACAATTATAAACTGTTGAACTACAAATAACAACGTATTAAAGCGTTTTAAATTGAATTTGTAGTTAAAAAAATCTTCCAAGTATGATTTAATAACAGGTTGCAGTTAGTTGGGAGCTTTTTGACAAATTGCTTCGCGAGTGTCCCCGCGGTAGGCAACCTAATTACCCAAGTGTAAGCAATAAATATCTTGCGAGGTTGCTAAGGCGGTGAATTGTTGTTTACTTAAGATATATGAACTGAGAGTTGGAAGCAAGTTAGTTTCTCTATAAACTATCATTTTCTATTAACTAGAAAGTATTAAAATAGTATTAAACTACTGAAAATGATATAATTGCTTCGATGCGACATTGGCGTATATTTTTTTAATATTCATTATGTTTTCTTGTTGTATAAAATCGTATTTTTATAAAAGTGTTATTTAATTTAACAAAATAATGTTTTAACTGTATCTCTTCACGTTAAACTATTTTTTCTGTTTTTATTTAGTAATAGATATTAGCAGATTGTTTCCTCAAACAGCAAAATATAATCTTTTCCTTCTTGATATTTGTTATCGTCACGTCGCACTCCCGAAGGAGTAAAAACAGAAACTTTAACTGCTCGGGACCCCCGTACCTACGTCTTAAGTGATTTACTGGCGCACTGTGACCCATTCGCGAATACACCCAAAAAGGGAGAAACGGCTAAAACGGGGTTACTCTGTTTCCTGACTACCTTCTATAATGCATCTGTCCTTATCTCACCGTACGTAGAAGAGAGAGACGGATTACTTTGCAGGTTAAAATCTAAATTTGAAACAGGCAGCCGGCAATATCCTTACTAAATAGGTCAGGAAGGCGAAGTTTACGTCGCAATACGGCGTTAAGGAAACCGAAACGCAATAAAATCTATGGAATAAGGGCGGAATAAGAAAATTATTCAGGAGTTAATCCCTTGAAAGTCGCTCAGAAGGTCGTTGAATTTTATTACCTAATTATAGTGAGAGCAAATTAAAAAAATAAACTACGATGGGTACTTTTGTCGTAGATAAAGTGGATTTGTTTAAATATAGGTACAGTAATCGAGTTTCAACGATGTTTTGTCGCATACTTGTCTAAACCTGTATTATCTTATATCAATCGCTAAATCATCACAGAAACTAATAATCCTTAACCAAACTAATGAGGGTGAGACAAAACAAACATAATGCCCTTTCGCAACCAATAAAGATGACTAATAAAACTCAATATGCAATGTACACAATAGCAGGGCGTCGCTGCGGCATTTTAGCGCAATATTAACACCGCTACCTTTGACCTTTAAGTGTCTGGACTTGTCAAGGGCGCAATCCTTAATGTCTTAATAACTTTTTAAACTTGCTTTGCTTAAACTTTGTGTAAATTTTTGTGTCAGTTGCTTTCATCTTAACATAATACATGAAAGTGTTGTTTGTTTCCGTATCCGCAAAAAGTTGCATAATTTAATATTATACCGGCGAATTTATGCCTAGTCCATTTCTATACAGTCAAAGACTGCTTCGTTTTGTCTGAAAGAAATATTATTTGCATTTGGCTAGGCAAGGGTCGTCCCCTCTGGAGGACGTCGGCGGGGACTGCATTCCGCCGCTTATGCACTTGTCTTCACTTACACACACATTCGTAATAACACTTTAAGAGGGAATTTTAGTACAAAATCTTTTATTCAACTTCTCTAAAAAAAATATTTCTACCTTTAAATCCACTTCACACTTGGAATTCAGTTGATATTTTTCATGTAGGTATTTTTTTAATAATATACTCTACTAATACTTTCTCTACTTTAAGTAAAGTTTAACGTAGATAACTCTCTTTCTAAATGAAACAAAAACAAAACGAAACCAGGTGTTTAATCAGTGAAAGCCTACGCTTAATATAAAAATGTAAGCATTTGACAAAATGCATGCGTCCTACACACACAAATACAGATGTATCGTCACGGGCGCTGCACCAACGTTGTAGGGGAATTTCCCATTAAATATTTAGATTAGATTTTTCGTGATCCATTAATCACAGTCTAATTGTAAAGGGTCGGCGCGCTGTTGAAAATAGTGCTCAAGTTTGTGAAGATTTGGTAATCCTTTGATATGGTAATGTTATAAGAAAACTATCTCCCTTCTCGATAGAAAGTGCGAACTCGAGGGTTCCTACTGTCGACAACTTGTTTTCGTATTGACAGCCTATCCATTTTAATATATTTAACAAAATAGAGACACAATATACGTCCGACTTCGGTTACAATTGTTGCCACATAAAGAATTTCTACATTCACGTTGAATTATGTAAACATTTTATCTTGAAATAACACAAAGGTCGATGTGTTGGAAGAAAATTAATTTAGTTGTAAGCTTACAAAATTTAATTTTCTCAATCTCTGAAAAATCCTCTTATACCTTAATTTGCTTTGGTCGTTTTTATTGTGTATTACGGTTGCAAAAAATAATAAAAAGGAAGCTATGTTTTTCAACCTGCATATTTTGTTTATTGTTAGTTGAAATAAGGAAAACAATATCATAACATCAAGTTTACTTGTATAAATATTATAAGTGCAAACTACTGCAAAGTTTTTAATTAAAAACAATAAAAGACTAAGCAAAAGTCATGGCGCATTAAAATCAGATTTCATTTGACCGCCCCATAATTATTTTTCTCCCGCCCCGGGTTCTATTACTAAGGGATCGCGACAAACGAATTTGCCTTATAAAAGTGAACACGCCTTATGTGTTTTCGCTTGTTTGTCTAAACATGATGTAACTATATTTTACGGATAATTTTGCTGTCTTTTATTGATGGATGTTTCAAAATAGCCGGTCGTACAAAATCTATTTGAGTTTTGGGTATTTTTCTCTTAGTTTTCTACCTACATTATAGTAGAATGACTTTTTCTTTTAAACACTTAACTATTCTACCACAGAAAAAAGAAAACAATAGGTTTTTAACAGAACTATTTGTTCGATTTAAAAGTTGCCTTTGAATTTTTTAAAGGTTTCAAAAGTCTAAAAAGTATATTTCTAGAAACATTGTACATTAAAGAATTTCTATAAATAAAAAATAAAGATTCTATATCAACAACATTTCTTACATTTAAAACAATAAAAAAAGTTTTATAATAAAATTGTGTAAGCAAATGCGGTTCTCTTTAACGCGGAGTTTGTAACGCGTTCGTAGCGGACCCTACGCCGTCTCGGTAATCCCTCTGATATGAGCCTCGTTCCTATTTATATGCAGATTCCACGACCGACCATAAGTTATCCGTTCAAGCTACCGGATCATTCCCTTAATGACGCCGCATGAACGGGAAAAAGTACTACAGAAGGGTGCATTTAGCTTCCATTGGAACTGTGTCGTAATAAGCCATCAAGTTGAGTGCAATCGGCGGTGTGGAATTAATTAATGTGCGTCGACATGTTGCGCTAATAACGGACAAACAGATTACTATATTGTTATTTAGATATATTATTTGTTTTCTTAGCTTTTACTTTTGAAAGCATTTTACTCCATATCTTAGATAGATCTTAAATTACTAACACGCTAAATGTATTTAACGAAACATTTTCATCCAGATTTTACCACTTTAACGGAGATAATTACGAATTCCTGTACAGAATACTGTCGACAATTGTTCCAAGTCTCGGCGAAATCTGATTAAATTAAGCGATATTAAAACGGAAGCCGAAATTTTGCAAGAAATAATTAAAATATTGCTCCGCGATATGAAGATGTTGGTATTAATAATGCTTTGCGAGTTATTTGATAGGGCAATATTTAAGCCTCATTTTCCAAATTAATATTTCCAATATGATAACGTAAAAGCGCTTACATTACTGCTAATTTAATAAAGTGAAATAACATTAATAATTGATTGTCAAAATCTTAAATACACTTTAATACGTGTTCAGGTAAAACAAACCTATTCTCTCGGTTACTATTGCACAAAAGACGCTAGAATTAATAAAAAAACAAAAGTAAGTAGCCTAAATTTTCCCAGACTATTCTCAACATTTAAGCCAATTATCGAAATCCGTTCAACAGTTTAGGTTACAAATTCTTAAAAATCCATTCATCTAAGATTTCGCACTTTTACCATTAGTAAAATATATTTGCCTAAAGTATATTAAAGAGTACAATGAGTA